GGTCATTGGATAAACATATGGATGATAATGGAATAGTTTAGGTTAGATGGGCTTCAGATTGGTTTCACAGGTCGGCGCAACATCGAGGGCCGAAGGGCCTGTACTGCGCTGTAATGTTCTATGTTCTATGTGGCTCAGGGATAGACAGGTCTGGCAGTTTAATGTTCTAGGGTTCCAGGACATTGGTGTGGCCACTTATGGAATACTGCTTTCATTTCTGGTCTCCCTTCTGTAGGAAGGAATTTGTGAAACGTGAAATAGTTCAGAAAAGATCTACAAAGATGTTGCCAAGGTTGGAGCTATAGGAAGAGGCTGAATAGGCTGGGGCTATTTTCCCTGGAGTGTCGGAGGTTGAGGGGTTACCTTATAGAGGTTTATAAAATTGAGGGACATAGATATAGGGTCTTTTACCCGGGTGGGGTAGTCCAGAACTAAAGGGCATAGGTTTAAGATGAAAGGGGAGAGATCTAAAAGGGACCTAAGGGGCAACCTTTTCACACAGAGGGTGCTTTATGCGTGGAATGACCTGGCAGAGGAAGTGGTGGAAGCTAGTACAATTATAATATTTAAAAGGCATCTGGATCGGTATATGAAAAAGAAGGATTTAAAGGGAGATGGGCCAAATGCTAGATTAATTTAAGGTATCTAGTCAGCGTGGACGAGTCAAACCGAATGGTTTGTTTCCATGCTATACAGCTCTATGACTCTAATTGTTACAGCACAGGAGGCCCATTGTATCTTTACCATAAAATAGTAAAGCAAAGAACTATGGATGCTGGGGATTTGAAACAAAAGCAGAAATCACTGGAGAAACTCAGCAAGTCTGGCAGCATCTGTGGGAAGAAAGCAGAGTTAATGTTTTGAGTCTGATGACTCCTTATTGGAGCTATTAGTAGCTAGGAAAAAGTGTTACTTAAGCTGAAGGTGAAGTGGAGAGGTTGTGGAGGGAGGCGGGGATGGTGGAAGGAGACAGGTAACCAGATGGGTAGAGATGGAACCCAGAGAGACAGAAATATGAAAAGGGGTAGGTAAACAAAAAGATTACGGATGGCAGGCCTGGACAGACTTTTAAAAGAAAAAACTGGTTGTTATAATAAGAGCTAAGAGTGAGAAAATGGATTCGTTGTACTGAATACAGCCCATATAATGTGATAATGGGCCTAGGAGTACATGCAAACAGGTGACTGTGATAAAAGCAATCTATTTTGTACAAGACCAGGTGTTGGGTGAGGTTTTAAAAAAAAAAACCTGAAAGAATGGAATCAGGCTCAAAGTTATTGAGTATGGTGTTGAGTCCTACAGGCAGTAGGGTCCCCAAGCAGGGTATGTCCTTCTTCAAGCTTACACTGAAGCTCTCTGGATCACTGCAGCAGGCCTGTGACAGAAATGTAGGTGTGGGAATATGGTGATGCGCTGAGGTGGTGGGCAAATTTAAGGTTGGGGTCATTTTTGCAGTCAGTATCGGTATCCTGCAAAGCAGTCACCCAACCTATGTTCTGTCGCCCCAGTGTGGAAGGGTCCACATTGCAGGGTAGATTAAATGAAGTATATACAGGTAAATCACTGCCTCACCTGGAAGGTATGTCTGGAGCCTTGGATGGTGAAGAGTTAACCGGGTGGGGTATTACACCTTTTGTGATTGCATGGGGAGGTGCCATGGGAGTGAGATGAGATGTTGGCAATGGAGAAGTCTACCAGAATGTCCCAGAGGGTCACTGCGGAAGGCTGATGATAGGGGTGGGGAATATGTGTCTGACAGTTGCATCCCATTGCAGGTGATGGAAAAGGCAGCTTGTAAACCTTTGGATGCAGAGTCTGGCGGGTGGTAAATGAGGACAAGGGGCCCCTGTCATTGTTGTGAGAGGAAAAATAAGGAGTGAGGGCAGAAGTGTAGGAGATGGGTCGAACACAACTAAGGGCCCTATCAACCAGGTACCAGGAAATCCTCGAGTTTGGATTAAATGTCATGTTTTAATCAAACTGAATTTACACATTTTATCAGAATGAACAGGCTCTCGGAAGCTGTGTATCATAGCCAGATGAGCTAGTTTTTGCAAGTCGTAGCTCATTAACTAGTTCTAATTGAAACAATAAGTCCAATTGTTTCATCCCAAGAATATTAGGGGAGGTTGTGCCTTTTTAGTCTAGAGAGATAAAACCATTCATATTGGGTCTTGGCTAACTAAGTACTTCACTAAATAAAAACCGAAAGAACTGCGGATGCTGTAAATCAGGAACAAAAACAAAAGTTGCTGGAAAAGCTCAGCCGGTCTGGCAGCATCTGTGAAAGAAAAAACAGAGTTAACATTTCAGGTCCATTGACCCTTCCTCAGATCTGTTTTCCCAGCCACCGCCAGTTCTGAGGAAGGGTCACCGGACCTGAAACATTAGCTCTGTTTTTAACTTCACAGGTGCTGCCAGACCTGCCGAGCTTTTCCAGCAACTTTGTTTTTGTAAGTGCTTCACTCACATTTGACAAGATTAAAGAGGGCAAATGGGGGAAAAAAAGTGCTATCCATTTAATCACAAGATAAACCTATTGTTACAACTCTAGGTTTACTCTATCTGATCTGTGGGCTCTACTGAAAGTAAAATGTTTTGGATACGTCTGTGATTTACCAACAAAATAGCTAAGTCAATCCCAAATATTTTAAGAAACTTACACATCATCAATGCAGAATTTAAGTTTACCTTTTAATATTTTATCTCTTTTCAGGCTTCCTTACATTTGCCAGTATAACAATCATAGTCTGTGTGGTGCTGATGATCTTTATTGCTCCTAAACTGGGACCAACCAATATACTGGTCTACATCTCCATTTGTTCATTGATTGGAGCTTTTTCTGTGTCATCTGTGAAGGGACTAGGTATTGCTATAAAGGAACTACTTGAAAAGAAACCTGTCATCAACAAACCATTGAGCTGGATTCTACTCGGTACTTTGATCGTATCCGTCAGCACTCAAATCAATTATCTAAATAAAGCTCTTGATACCTTTAACACTGCTATAGTGACCCCTATTTACTATGTATTGTTCACTACTATGGTCTTAATTTGCTCTGTTATCCTTTTCAAAGAATGGAATAATGTAGAAATTAAGGACATCATTGGGATTGTAAATGGATTTTGTACGATAATCTTGGGCATCTTTTTACTTCATGCTTTTAAGGATATACAATTTACGTGGGAACAATTAATATCTCTCATTAAAAAAAGTGCAAATGCAGAAACAAACAGATTTGGTCAGGATTACCATCATGTATTACTGGACAATATGGATAGCCCATCTGCTGTTTATGATGATGAAGAAATGAATTTATTCTTTAACAGAAGAAATGTTGGTTTTCGAGAGCATTCTAACCTACAGTAACAATGCACAACTTTGTGATGAATGCTTCATGAATCTGTTAAATTTGAATCCCATCAAAGAATTCCAGGATCTTCACATTGCCATTAAATGAAAATCCTTACCTTTATGGTGTTCACTTATGGATTGTACAGTCTTTTGGATTTCAAGATTATTTTTGCACTAAAGAAGTATGTTTTCCAAAACTCCCGATTTAAGTATGACAAATAACAAAAATGTGCTCCAGTTTAGGTAACTTGAATTTGACTGTATTTGATTTGTGAGTAATAGACTTATTTCAGTGTGTGGTGTTTACTTCAGGATTCACAAAACTGGAACCAATGCAAAATGTAAATATTTGTTCTTAGATAATGTGATTCTAGTGTTTTGATGGTATAACCACAGTCAAAATAGACACTTGTATGGCAGTATAACAATTAAAGTATGGAATGCAAGGTAGCTGTTAAGATAGTTGCATTGTAAGTATCTGGCTTTTTAAAACACTGACAGCACATGTTTATTTTAATAAACTAAATCTTTGCATTTGACCAACATAAAATAGCATTTCACATTGATACTTGAAGATTTATAGTGAAAGCACTACACTCTTTGCCATTCAATGCAACCTATTCACCAATTTACTGAATTTGTGCAACCTCAGTTTTTTTTTATGAATAAAGATTTGCTCTCATTTTTGAGATACATCTACTTATAGATGCATCATATAATTGAAACTTTATTAGTAACTTTATTATAAATAATCTCTTGTATGCTCTAGGTTCAGTTAGCAAAGTCTTTTTTTCATTGGGGTTTTTAATTTTTGTTGCACTGTATTTTTGTTCAGAAATGAGGTCTAGCTAATTGTACACACACCCTATTCTGATGTAAAGATTATGTTTAGCATTTATCAGGGTGAAGAATAGCAGTTCTTTGATTTTAATTTTGGGTACGAAGATTGGCAATCAAATTTTCACATGACCAGCAAACTTGATTAATTGAAAATAATACTGCCTGTACTATGACCAATTATTGTAGTTTAATTCCCATATTGAAAGCTGTTCCACTATGACATTTTCATGTCCTCAGCGATTCAACCCTTGGTCCCACCAGGCTTCATTTGTGCAATAATGTCCAAACTAAGTAGAAATTGGTTTGAGGCTTTCTAAGCCTATTTCATGTTGTGCTAGTGATATTGAAACAAAAGTTAAAACTGAAATTAATTTGTTTGCATTGATTTTGAGCAGAAATTAATGTACTGACAATATTTTTTTTTCATTTTAGCTACTGCCTTTATTTTTCTTGCTTTCAAAACATTTTGCCTGACTGCTTATTAGGCCATTGTAGCCTAATTGACAGATCATGTTGGTTACTATAAGTCAACAGCTATGATTATCTTGGCGAGTGCATGACTTAATGATAAAAGGGAAGTATATGACATTTTCTTCCTTTCCCAGTAATTCTTAAAATTCTAAAAGGAGGTAACAGTTCCAATGAACAGAAAGGCCATCAGAGTTATGAACTTGGAATCATAGAATCCCTACACAGTGGAAGGAGGCCATTCAGGCTATCAAGTCCACACTGACCTTCTAAAGAGCATCCTCACCTGGATGCAGCCCCAATCCCCTACTGTATCCCTGTAACCCCACATTTACCATGACTGATCCACCTAACCTATGCATCCTTGAACACCAGACAATTTCAGCATAGCCAGTCCACCTGGTCTGCACATCTTCGGACTGTGGGAAGAAACCACACCACCGGGTGGAAACTCAAACGGACATTGGGAGAGTGTGCAAACAATACACAGTCACCCACAGGGTTCCTAATGCTGTGAGGCAGCAGTGCTAACCACCATGCCACCTTGTACTGTTCCTTGAAGAAATGATTGCTGCTGCTGATACATTCTTTTGGATTGCTAGAAGGCAATTGGTTAGGTAATGTGTCCAAATAATGACAAAGCAGTACAGTTATAGGAACAGCAGTCTGCTTTCAGGATTCAGGTCTCGTGAGTTTCCTATAATTTGTTCTGTAAGTCAGGAGCAGCATCTCTTCGAATTGTTTGAGATTGTTTCTCGCTCTATATGCAACCTGTTTCTCTGCAATAAATGCCATCATAACATGCGGACCACCGGATGATCACTCTAGAGCTCATCATGTCAGAGGATCCCTTTGGTAAGGCTGAAGTTTGGAGTTGCCTACTCAATATTTTAAATAGAGCCATTGAGACTCTGAGCTGCAATCTGTAGAAGGCTGTTTACTCTGATTCTCTGAGGAATGCACTGAGCAACTTTGAGGTAATTAAGGGCTTAATTGCCTCTTTGCTATGGGTGCATGGCTCCAACATTGACCCTCTGACCTTGTTAAAGCATGACAGTTGAGACTGGACATATTTCTTGCGGAAATGCTACATCTCAAGCTGCCGGGTACACGCATTGTTGGAGTAGAGTCGTACAACTTTAGCCCCATTCACTGTGCTGGACTAGCCACTCTATTAGCTGATATAAGGTTAAATGTGTTACAGAATTGCGAATAACTGGATTGCAACTGTCAGACTTCGAGGTAAAGAGAACTTTTTATTTGTGATATCACAGAGAGTCAACACTAACAAAGGTTAGATACCGAAGACTCTGCAGCAGTGCAGAGTTACAGGATATTTATAGAGAGAGACAAACAAGTCAACATGACAGGTAACAGTGATCTCATGGTCCAAAGCTTAATGTTCTCCAGAAATATCATCATCTTCCTGAGCTGCAGGCTTTGTTCTCCTGTTAATGTTTCGCTAACATGCACTTATTTTACTGACCAGGGCAAAAATGTGATTAGGTTTTACTAAGATAGCAGTTACTAAGAACTAGGGGCGGTTTTGAACACTGAGTTGACACTTCCTATTAACATTCTGTCTGTCACATACTCTTTTTGCCTTTTCCATACTGACTTTTCTCGAACCTTCTATAACATGTTAATTTCTTCCACAATATGTATATTCTGTTCTACGTCCTATGTATGTATATTCTGTATCAGAGGAGAGGCAATGGCCTAGTGGTATTATCAGGTAATGTTCTGGTGACCTTGATCCATTCTTTCAATAGCCTATGGCCTGCAAGAGAAGCAGGAAAGTCAATCTGAAAACATATGCATCCCCCATTTTTAGCACTTGATTTTAATCATTCATTTACACCCTTTCCAGAGCAATGGCATCCCTCCCAAATGTTGATTCCAGAATTCATTGTTAAAATTTATCTGCTACATTTTAACTCCAAGATAAATGTTAGACTATTCATTTGGGCCAAAAACAACATCTCTTCAATGATGAAACAATAGGAATAAAAGAAGTTCAAAAAACTTTAGGGATTCACTTATGCAGATCTCTAAGATATTGTAGTTAGATTTTGAGGTTGGTTGGCTCACCGAGCTGGTCTGTTGTTTTGCAGACGTTTCGTTACCATGCTGGGTAACATCCTCAGTGCAGCCGCCGCTGAAGCGTTGATGTGTTTTCCCGCCTGGTTTTTAAACTCTGGGGTCCGTCGAGATGGACTGCCTCACTTCCAGGTTTCCTCAGTAGTGGAATGCATATGGGGTCGAGTTCAATGTGTTTATTAATAGCATGCTTCGTGGAGTGCCATGCTTCCAGGAATTCTCGTGCTTGTCTCTGCCTAGCCTGTCCCAGGATTTTGGCGTTGTCCCAGTCGAAGTCGTGGTTCTCCTTGTCCATGTGGATTGAGATGAGTGGTCGTGTCTTTTTGTAGCCAGTTGGTGTTCATGTACTCTTGTTGTTAGTTTCCTTCCTGTTTGTCCAAAGTAGGGTTTCTCACAGTCTCTGCAGGGGATCTTGTAGATGACATTAGTCCTGTCCATGGCAGGAAGTGGGTCTTTAGTTCGGGTGAGCAGTCGTCATAGGGTTGATGTGGGTTTGTATGCCACTCTGATGCCTAGCGGTTGTAGGAGTCTTGTGGTGAGTTCCGACGTGTTCCTGATGTAGGGTAGTGTGATGAGTGTGTCGGGGCATGTAGAATCTTTCTGCCGCTGTTCTTGTAGGCAATCCATCTCAACGGACCCCAGAGTTTAAAAACCAGGCGGGAAAACACACCGACACTTCATCGGAGGCTGCACTGAGGACGTTACTAGAGGGCATCGCCTCAAAATAAAGGGAAGCAGATGTAGGACTGAGGTCAGGAGGAACTTCTTCACCCAAAGGGTTGTGAATCTGTGGAATTTCCTGCCCAGTGAAGCGGTTGAAGCTACCTCACTGAATGTTTTTAAGGCAAGGCTAGATAAATTTTTGAACAGTAAAGGAATTAAGGGTTATGGTGAGTGGGCGGGTAAGTGGAGCTGAGTCTCAAAAAGATCAGTCATGATCTTATTAAATGGCGGGGCAGGCTTGAGAGGCCAGATGGCCTACTCCTGCTCCTAGTTCTTATGTTTTTATGTTACCAAGCACAGTAACAAAACATCTGCAAAACAACAAACCAGCTCGGCGAGCCAACCAACCTCAACACCCGCAACCCGAGCTACAGATCTACTCCAAAACCTTGTAGTTAGATTTTAAATTTCACAGTTGATTTGTGTGCCATACCTTAAATACACTGACCTTAGACAGCAGAGCAAATTCATTAGAATCTCGGCAGGGCTGTGAGCAATCAGTTATCTCCACACACACACACACACACACACACACACACACACACACACATATCACAAAGAAATAAAATGAATGGATAACCCCCTATCAATTGAAGCACCAGGTACAACTATGGTACAGGCAGCCTAGACTTTAACATTATTTATCTTACGTTAAAATTGGGAATGCAATCCTACAGATGAGTCCAGCAACAAGCTGACATTCTAAATTGTAAAATGCAGCCAATGTCCTAGGTACCTCCATTACCATCACCAGTATGTCCTGTTCTATTGGCAGATTATATTCTCCAGGAATGGAAGCATAGTTATATATAGTTTGGAAGGAATTTCCCTGGCAGTTCTTGACATGGACTCTGGACCCCATGAGGTTTTGGTGGTATTAATTACTAATTACCACCTTGAACACTCTACCAGCTGAGGTGAACCAGTGTTCTTAATCCAGTGACCCAGGTAGTGTTCTGGGGACCTGGGTTCGAATCCCACCACAGAAGATGGTGGAATTTGAATTCAACAAAATATCTGGAATTAACAATCTATGATGACCATGAAACCATTGTCGATTGTCGATTGTCGATGGTCGGAAAAACCCATCTAGTTCACTAATGTCCTTTAGGGAAGGAAACTACCATCCTTACCTGGTCTGGCCTACATGTGACTCCAGACACACAGAAATGTGGTTGACTCTTAACTGCCCTCTGGGCAATTAGGGATGGGCAATAAATGCTGCCGAGCCAGCAATGCCCTCATCCCGTGAATGAATAAAGAAAAAAAAACGCTTGTCCTTTCTGATTACCCATCACAGATTGAGATAAGTGACAACTGCACTGTCCTTATGGAGTGAAAATCATATCCTCACACTGAGAATACCAGCCTTTGCATTGCCTAGCTCAAACCTGGATATTATTGAGGCGCTGTA